AACTTAAGCTGATAGTCTACAAGTATCTTCTGTATTGTATGTGTAATTTAATAGCTTGTTCTGTGAGATTACTTAGTTGCAACATTTTGAGACTTTGTTGTTAGGTATTTTGAGACCTTGTTCTGTCACTTTCATTAACAGATTATGGTAATGTAAGTGGCAAAATCTGTTCTAACTTTCAGTTTCTTGAGAAAAGAGTAATCGTTTGAGTTCTTTGGAAAACTTTATGCTCTTGTTCCTGTTAGATTCTCCATTTTTTTTAAAAAAAACTTTCTTTGTCAGAAAACTGTGAACTATTTTCCACAAAGACAAACAAATAATTTGACAGATTATCTGTAACTATGTTGATGAAATTCTTGTCTTGTCTTTCAAGACCAGTCACCTTTAGTTTCAAACTCTGAATCTATTCCATATTGTTATGCTTCTGATGCTAAGTAGTGATAAACTTTATGACGTAACATTATTTACAAGTTATAAACAATGCTACCTATTTTAAAAACTCTGTCTATAGAAGCATGTCTAATTTATGCTTAAATTATAGTTTTTTTTATAAATTTAAATTGAAATATTTTCTACATTATATTTATTTATGTTAAAATAACAAACACACTGCTAAAGTATGGCTAACTCTGATTAAGAAAAAGAAAACTCGTAAATACAATGGAAACAATCTTTGAAAGATATAATACGACTAATACCCTCAATTATTCTTTCTTCTGAAAAACACTTTCAAGCTATGTTTAGATATATATTCACCCGTTTAAAGAGGCGGAGTTAAGGAATTTTCAGTTAAAAAAAAAATAGAAACTCATCTAATTCTGCAACTTAATCTAAATTTACAATATTATTAATTACATACTCCTCCGGTCCTAAATATAGGACCCTTATACTAATGTGTATAAAGGTCTTATATTTAGGATTGGAGGAGTACTATACAATAGATGTTACTCTTCCGGTCTTTAATATAGAACCCAATTCTTGAGTTAGTTTTGGTTCTAAATATAAAAACCCATTTATTATATTTATTATTTTCTCTAAATTATCTCTATGGATACTTTCTCAACCACAATCAAGTAGAATAGGGAGAGGGGGGTATTAAGAAAGATGATTATGGTGTTTTAGGAAAAATGTGTCACTTTTCTTAATTACTAACTTACCTAACTTCTTTAATCTAATCAAATTAGTTAAATGGGTCTTATATTAAGGACAGGAGGAGTATCACTCATTGGCATCGAATCTTGATAAGAAGCAAATTGAAATTGACCAAACACGCAAGCGAGCGACAATAATTAATTCAAGTAACAAAAACACAATCACAAAGGTAATATTATATGCTCATGACATATCATCAGGATTAATATTGCTCAAACATTATTCGGTTTCCTTAATGACTTTCTATCTTTATCACACAGATACAGTCTCCTGGAGAACTGAATTGTCTAATTATAACCTTCCAGATTCGATCAAAATCAAATCTTTAATTTATTCGTATATTTATTATATACTGTGTACTGTGTGTGCATTATATTCTTCTTCCACCACAACCAGCTTGTCGTTGGCAGTTGAAGAACAGAGCAGCTACAGGAGATCCGAGGTGAAGCGCACAGAGAAATCTCGAGTGTTGAAATTCTGACGCGGCCACTCAGTAGCATCGACCATTTGTCTTCCCTTTGATTGACGAAATAACACAAACACGTAACGATGAATCCCCATCGTTGGCCCTGGACTCTCATAGCTCACTATCTCTCGCCCTGTATACAACACATATACATCTTCAAATATATCACCTTCAGCCACTATACATATATACATATATATATGTATCTTCAAATATCACCTTCATTCAATATATACATATATGTTGTGTGTTGCAGGAATAAGGAGGAGAGAACAAAGGTAAAAAAAAAGGCACACACGCACACAAAACATAAATACATACCGAAGCTTGGTCCTGTAGTCGCTGGAATATCAGTTACCAACCTGTACGTATATGAAGCAGATCAACATTAAATTATAACTCAATTACACACACACACCCACACACACACACACACAGAGTAAAAACCAGGATCTATCGAACAAAATATATAAGCCAGGGATATCTAAGCTTCTGTCTATATATTACATGATCAAGTTCACAAACTAATAGAGGGAAAACTCACCAATGCAAGTACTCTCTCATATTTGGTTCGCTTGGGCTCGGCGCATCAGGGTCCACCATAATCTGCATGCATATAAAGCAAGTCACTACACACACACACACCACACACACACACACATGTATATCTTTTCCAAGTGACAAAATAAAGTTTAAAGAGAACGGAAATTAAAGCTAGAAGTATATAGAGATAGAGATGAGAGCGCGCGCACACACCAGAGTGAAGAAGGTCCTGAGGTCATCGCCGCCAACATCAACCCTTGGAATGCTAGAAACATGGGAGGGTTTGAGTTCAAGACCATTGAAGACTTCTCTGTGATTACTGTAAGTGACCCTCATTGAGATTGACCTCGTAAAAGGATCCAAAACATCTCCAACTACGCCTCCAACTACAAGAGGATCCGTTGATGTCATCATCACCTCCACGGAAGACTTCTCTTGTATATAGGCAGATACTTGGCCAACCCTGGCTGCCATTTATATATATATAGGCTCATTATTTGATTTCTTCCGTAGTAGTAGTGTGTCGTCCAAAGCATCGTTCGACTTTTTTGTGTCAGTTCTTTTTTTTTTCTTTTTTGGTGGCTCGTGGGGACGATCAACTTGGATTTTCACTAGTGGCCATGGTCAGCTTTTTTATCAGATCATGGAATAAGGTGATGGGGATACAGAGAAGGACCATGCTAGCTATCCCTCCTTTAATCTGTTGTTTTTATACGCTTGTTTTAGCATATATTTATACTAATTAATCATGATTTGCAAATTTATTTATACATATAATATTATACTTGTTTAGGTGTGTCTTCAGGTTAGGGATGTATCTGGTTTCTAATAAATTTTGCATATCCATCAAGAAATATTGCAGAGATCGACCCTAGCTCGATCGTGGGTCTCTGTTTGTTTGTGGGGGAATGAGATACGATCTGGTAGTGAAAGGGGGGAGGCCCGAGAATATATGAACAACCAGTGAGAACAGAAATTAAAGCAACTTGCATCGCAGCAGAACGGTTCTGATTCGAGTTTGGGTTTCTTATGTGCCTCTCTCTAATATCTTTCAAAATGGTTTTTTCCTCTTGAACATTGGAGTCTATGTAAAATGAGTGACGTTTTGACGTTAAATTTTTCATGATTAAAAAAAAAAAAAAAACTAAAGTTGTGCAATTTTGATTTATTTTTTTGAAAAATAATTAAAAAAATTTCAAAATTGAACCATTTTATACTTATAAGACGTCAAAGTGTCGCTGGTTTATGCAAAATCTGATAACAACAAGAGATTAAAAAAAAAAAACATATGAAAACTTAGAGTATTACAAAGGGCATTAGAGAAAGACACATTAGAAGTCCCAAACTTAGGTTTTTCTCATATTTTCTTTAGTTAAAAAAAAAATACTCTTCCGGTCCTTAATATAAAACTTAATTGTGGAGTTGATTCTAATTTTAATATAAGACTTATTTCTTATATTTATCAATTTTTTTAAAATCACCTATATTGATACTCCATCAACCTATGAGAGAAAAAGAAAATATAAAGAAGATAATTAATGTATGTTTTTAAAAAAAATGTCATATTTATTATAGTTAACTAATTTTTTAATTTTTTTAATCTAATCAAATTAGTTAAAGGGTCGGAAGAGTATTAAGTATAGGCCCTGAAAATGTCGCATTCGTTCATGAAAACAAATATGAATGGGAATCCTTTTTACTTTAGGCAACATGCATGTGCATCAAGATGCGATTGAACCCCCTGTCAAAATTCATAGAATATCTTTTGGCTTTGCTCTGTACGTGTGGATAGTGGATACCCGCAAAGCAATTAAAAGACGAATCAATTGCTCAGTTGGGTCGTACTAAGACGGCTACCTCGTATGCATATAATTTGCCGTACATAAGTTTCTTTAATTTTTGGTGAGGCACAGACGACCTATACCTTGAAGAAACAAAGTGATAATTTGCAAGTAAAACAATACCTGCCAGTACGTAATATATAATCTGTGTATGTATATATATATGATCTTGTCTAGATTCGTACATAAAATTGGTCTCATGGATCACATATACACTACATTTTCCAGGTATAACAGTGAAGTGAGTGTGTAAAGCAGATCGCATGATTCACAACTGCGATCAGATCAGAAACTTGATATTTGTTTTATTCCTATAGACCATACTACAAGAGTTTGTGTGTGTGTGTGTGTGTCTATCGTCTTCTTCCACCAGAACCAGGTTCACGTTGGCAGTTAAAGAAAAGAGCAGCGACAGGAGGTCCAAGGTTGTAGAGCTCAGCGAAGTCACGAGTGCTGAAATTTGGACGCCATCCAGGAGCATCTATGATTTGTCGTCCCACTGATTGACGAAATAACACAAAGACATAACGATGAATCCCCATCGATGGCCTTGGATTCTCGTAGCTCACGACCTCATGCCCTAGTGTATATATACATAAAAATATATTTACAGATGTATATATCATCATCAAAAGCGAGTTTTACGGTAGACAAGAAAAGGAAAGCTAAAAAAATTATATATAGTTACCGTAGCTTGGTCCCAAGGACGCTGGAATATCAGTTACTAACCTGTCCACATGGAAAAAAGTTGAGTTCTTTATACACAGTTGTTAAACGGTAAAGTTCATATCAAGATTAACAAATTGAAAATGACCTCTCATGTTTGGTTAAAATTTGCATATCAAAGCTTCATGGCATGCACGGTTAACTTGTAATATAATTCAAACAGCGCGAAGTGTAATAAACTGGGTAATTCAAACAGCGCGACCTGTAAATCGCATAAAACTTGAACTAAAAGAACAGAGATATGAAGGGAGAAAGGTAAGATATTCTATATGTATCAAGTTGACATAGAATGAAGAAAAGAAAGAAGGGGGGAGGATCACCAGTGCAAGTACTCTCTCAAACTTGGGTCACTTGGGCTAGGAGCATCAGGGTCCACCATAATCTGCATGCACACACACACAAAGTTAAAAATGAAGTTAGGTATTATTACCTTTTTATGATTAAAACGCGAGGATTAAAGAGAGGTTAGGTACTACTGAACTGTATGTGTATGAGAAATTGAAAAGCTTGTTGTATAGTGTACGTACCAGAGTGTAAAGGTCCTGAGGTCACCCTCGCCAACTTCAACCCTTGGTGGGTTAACCACGTGGGAGGGTCTGAGTTCGCAGCCGTTAATGACCTCTCTGTTATTACCGTAAATGACTGTCATGGGCACTGACCTCGTAAAAGGGTCCAAAACATCTCCAACGACACGTCCAACGACAAGAGGATCTGTTTCCCTAGGCATGATGGTGATAATAATTCACTGGTCGACGAGTTTGAGTTATGGATGGGTATGCAGATCCAGTGCACAGGGCCTTGCCTATTTATATTTGTTTCACTGAGTTCACTTTTTACGTTCCTAATCTCTTAAACTTCCTAAGATTCTTTGGACGACGTTGACATCTTCTTCCTTGTACGACATCAGAAAATGAACGTCATTTTCTTCTGGAAGCCCTATAGCAGTAAGGATGATTATACATATGTATATGTACATCTAAGATTATATATTCTATTTGAACCCTTAGTTTTCTTTGGACTTCTATATATTACCGCACAAACATTTGATTTGGCAATTAATTAAGACCCTGGGGGCGAAGTGTATCCACAGAGGAAACGATAGGCACAGGGTAGTGTTTAAAACTTTATATGCAAACACACGTTGGCACAGAATAACCTTTTAACAAAACAACGTATGGGGGATGTCTTTTTCAGATAATTAGAATATGCTTACAAGATAGGAGTTAATGTCATCTCCACCCTTGTTTTTGTGTGTTGTGGTTTTGCCAGTGTCCTTTTCTGTCTAATTCATTAGTTTATTCGTCTGTGCGCGTTGCCTGTTTCGTTAAAGGGATGAATTACACAGACGTTGCTATAGCGACAGTGGAATCTTGGCCCCTTTCTGTTTCGGCACTATGCATATGCTATAGCTAGCGATCCTTGGTAACTTGAAAGGTGAACTCATTTTCACAATCCAGTTATTACTCTAGCGAGTGCATTGTCACAAATCAGTAGTTTAATCTTCATGAGTCATGAAATTCAACTAATTTAAACATTTGTCGGTAACTTTATACTCCAATGGTACGAAAGCTTCTCCGTTATTAAGTAAAAAGTAACAAGGTTGATCTCATTTATAATCTTAGACTATCTACCTGCTTCTCAATTGGGCAAGAGAAAAAACTGACTCAAACATCCCCCCCCCCCCGGGGAAAAAGAATAGTTTTCCTCCTAGTAACATCAATTCGCAGCAGCAGCAAAGGTTAGTTTTCTTGATAATATATGAAACAAACAAATGGATGAAAGCAGCAGCCATACAACTTGAAGAAAAAACTTCGGTAGAGGATATAGCCACGTACGCTATCTGTATATGTTTACACCTTTTAGTATAACTTTATTGAAATAAAGTAAAGGCATATTATTAAACATGTTTTGATGATTTTCAAATCACTTTGATCTGAGGAGTGTGTATATTATTAGAACATGAAATATGAAACTCCACGGGCATGGGGACCCTGGCCTTCAATTCCTTTCAATTTAGGAATCAAAACGTGGTGTTCTCTTACTGATAGAACCTCATCTTTAAGTGGTGGCACAGAAAGATGTTAGTTGGCATATTTAAGAAAAGCAGAGAGAATCTCACTATATGTCCTTTCTGCCAGTTTAGATCATCACATACACAAAGACGTTTCCGATCGAAACTGCACACATTTATTTCTTCAGTCGTGAGCATTTTAATTCTATTGTTACGTTACGTTTTGGGCAAATAAAACAAGTTGCAATGATATCTAATTCCCATGTTTTTACGTACAAATCATTAAAGTTTCAAAACTATGAAGCTTCCTATAGCTACTACGGGACGAATTAGTTGAGTTTCTCTGTTTGTGAGGCCTTTCAATTATTAAGGGATAAGACCAATATCCCCATCTCATATCCTCAAGGCCGGCGGGGTTGAGATATTCTAAGAACAAAAAGAGAGACCGAGAATCTCACATTCTAATTCTCTTGCTACTTGCTACAATTGCTCAACTCATGCACGCAAGGACCAAATTCAGATTCTCTTCCGTCGACCCCCTCTAGTTTTCTTACGTTGTTGTGTCTACGTACGAGAAGAGACAGCTGATGTGTGTGTGTGCAGTTTAATTTGAGGTATACTTTGAATGTTATTATTATAAGACTTGAAAATGTAGGATTTAATCTTTCATCAAAAAAATATATATAGTGAAAACTCTTCTATCTTCTACATATGATTTGCTTTTGGCAACAATATGTTTAATTATTGTACTCCTCTTGTCTTTAATATAAGACCTAATTGTTGAGTTGATTTTGGTCCTAAATATAAGACTTATTTTTCATATTTATCAATTTTTCTTAAATTATCCCTTTAAATACTCCCTCAACCATAATTAAGTGGAAGAATGAGAGAGGATATTGAGGAAGATGATTATGGTGTTTTAAAAAAAATATATCATATTTTTATAATTAACTAACTTACCTAATTTCCTTAATCTAATCAAATTAGTTAAATAGATCTTACGTTAAGAATCGGATGAGTATATCTGTTGTCCAACCCAGGAGAATATCTTTTTAAACCTTTATCTCAATAAATAACTCTAGATTCCAGCTCTGCTAAATGTGCAAAAAGCACGTGGGGGCCCTTTAATTAGTTTTCTTGCTTTTTGCCCTATCAATTTAAGAATCAAAGTGATGGATCTCATGGTTTTCAGATGGAGGTTGGTTATTGGTCATATGTTGCGTTGAGATATATAAAGAAAGAAGTAGAGAGAGAGAGAGAGAGAGAAATTAAAGAATAGGATCTTGCATTACATACCACAATTTTATTTGAACCCCTCATCAGATAAAAACGCATGAGAAATTCATGCACAGAGTCTTAAATTTCAGTTACATTCTTCGTTTATTTACGCCAGCATACACACACACACACAAAATCTTCAATCCTTAATATAAAAACTAGATAACTAATTTAGAGATATTAAAAAATTAGTTAAGTTGATTATTTGTCACAAATGTGTTAGTTTTCCTAAACTAATCCTCTTCAATGGGTGATTGGAATTATCCCTTGATAGAAACCCCTTACAATTAATAAGAATATTTGAAAAAAGATGAAAGACAAAATAAATTGAGTTCTTATATTTAAAACCAAATCTAATCTCTTAACTAACTCTTAGGTCCCGTTTGGTACGAAGCATTGAAAATGAAGGATTGAGATTGGGATTACAATTAAAAAAATCATTAAAATAGTACTTAATATGAATAATTGTTTGTTATATGGATTAGGTATACACATAAAGGTGGGATTGGGGAATACCACTTCTCCCATGGTATTCTCCAATCCCACATACATAGCTTTGGCTAATCTCATATATCAAACAATCTCTTATACTAAACACTCTCTTAATAGATTTTTTTAATTGTAATCTCAATCCCAACCCCTCATTTCCAATGCTTTCTACCAAACGTAACCTTATATTAAAGATCGGAGGTAGAATTTACTTTACACTGGGTATCTGAGATTTGTTTGGCAGCATCATTTTGATGATAACTTGCAGAATCCAATTATATTCCATCTTTTTTCAATCCTCTCACCGGAATCTCCCTCTAAATATATGAAGACCAGTACCCTCAACTCTCCTCTTGTGGGGGTGTATGGGCTATACTCTTATTATATACAAAGTTAAAAATGTAAGAGCCAGTGTAAATAGATATAGGGTTAAGAATTTCTCAATTTGCTGGTATATTAAAAATAAATTCAAAATTTCGCGTCATAAAAATAAGTTTTTAAAAATTAAAATTTACAATACATTTTTTATCTTGTATCATTTGACTAATCATGAAGAGAGATTACCAATTCAATGGTTAGAATATAATACTTCAAGTCTTTAATCTCAAAAAAATAATATGTGCACATGAGTGAGTGTAACAATTAGATGTCTAAACAGTTGTTCAATCACCATTTGTATGAAATAATTTCGATTTTTAATACACCATGAATCTGATCAATGGAACATTATTTATTAAAAAAAAAAAGAAGCACGAGGCTAGACCTCTGGAATAGGGGAGGCGGGTGGATTCCATTTAGGCATGATGACCGAAGTTTGAGTTTGTCTGCAGGGAGAATTACAATAAAGTTATAAGAAAAAAAATATAATTATTAATAAGTCTAAATAACAAATGAGAAATTGTTGTTTACTATTTTAAAACTTGTCATTATAGGCTACTTTGTTGTTACTAAATTTTTTGTAATTATATTTTGTATTTGAGATTTCATTGCAATTCCCCCTTCTCTCTTGTTTGTATATGCAAATACATTTTTAATAGAGTAACCTTCATTACATGACTTCAAAAATTTGGCAATTTGAACTTGTTTAGAATAGCTTTCGATCATTTTGACTTTGAGCTTTTTTCTTCAAATTTTTTTTAATGAAAATCTAGATATCATCACTCAAAGCAAAGCAAAAGATTAAAACTAAACCCTTTCATCACTATTCGCCTCTGGACACAGAAGTGAAGGTTGATCAATAATATAAAAGCTATCAATTATAGTATGAGACAACTTAACTAGGAAATTCACAGTACGGTTTTTTCAAATTTAAACCTTCTGTAACTGACCTCAATATATCATCCAAACAAATTCTTATCAAACTAATATGTTCATAAAAATACATCCAAATATAAATCATATTACACTAATTAATTTTTGCCCTTAGTTTGCAAAAGTTATTTGGAATAAAAATAACTTTTACAAACATTAATTCAAACAAACCCGCTATTAATAAAAAATTGCAATCAACATTTCAAAATAAACTAAATAATTGGAAGAAAAAAACTTGGCCTTTTAGCCATACGTGCATGTAAAAACTTTTATTTCCGCCCCAAAACAAGGGTAAGCATGTGTACATGCATCTGCGTATTAAACACAGGTGCAATATATACCAAAAAAGAAACAAAGAATGCTTCACTTCATCTATACAAAAGTAAAAAACAATTCGTGTTGGTTCTCGTTTTTGCTAAAGAAGCTCTCTTGTTAACTTGCAAAAGAGCGATTGATTGATGAGCCTAATTATAAAGAAAGAAGAAAGATAAGGAAAAGAAAATATAGCAATGAACTGTACACACCGCTAGTGCAAGGGAGCCGCTGAGTGCCATATTCAAACACAATGCCCAAGCCAACATTCTAACTTCTACCAAAGCTATGCCGTACCAACAAACAGGTGTCCATATATTTATCTATATATCTATATATATGTATATATGTATATAAAGCATGCCACCGTCCTTGCTCCAGGACTCACAACAACTTTAAAGAAAACTCAGAAGAAAGCAAAATTTTTCCTGTCACTTGTATCGTCAATTCCCTCATGCTGCATCATCTATTTCCTCTGGTTCCTTCTCTCATTTGACCTGTTATCTGGATTGTCACTCTTTTCTGTATCAGAACTCTCCACGATTCCTGCCTGACTCTTTCGCCGCCTTCTATCCTGAAATGTCACCGATATTCATCATGCTTTGATTTGAAACGGTCTCAATATGGATGTTTCATTGTAGCTTTCTTCTATTGCGATAAAAAATGGTAGTATTAATAGATTAGTCCAAGAATATCAGGTAGACACCATTAGCATGCCTGGAATAGTGAAGGGCCAGTCCAGAAATATATAACCTGGGAGGCATGAAGTCGGACTGGAAGCTTGTTTTGTACACAAATGGAAATAGATTAAAAAAAATAACAAAGTGATTTTGAGAAGGTAACATTCACGTCCCTACTTTAAAAAGGAAACAAAAAGATATGGAAACTGTTGAGTACTTGAGTAATAATTACTAAAGCATAATACAAAGCAAAGAAAAGAAAGAGAGAGGAATCCGTTTCATATGGAAATACGAGACCGGGAAGTCAAAAGGGGGAATGCAAAATCCTGACATAGATCTGTTCGGCCAAATGAGCTAAGCCATGTTCTCCTCAATTATAGTTATGCCACAAGTAAAATTTTTCTGTTATTGTTGCAATAAACCAGATATGGTAGTCAAAAACACAAACTGCCACACAAAACTGTAAACTTCGTGTGATTTTGAAAAAAGATCAGAATCAGAAGTCAAACCTCTCGAGGTATAGGGTATTCTTCTGATTCAAGCATGCGGACAACTTGACTCATCTTTGGCCTTTTTCCGGCATCTGGATCAACACACCTCAGTGAAGTCAAAAGAGCCCGTTTAAGGGCACTTGTCGATGGGCGAGTCTCAAGTTTTGGGTCCACCACCTCTTCTGAACGCCTATTCCCTACCATCATCTTGAGCCAGTCAACCAAATTTACCTGCAAAAATGTTAAGGATAGTCTCATCAGTCAAAATAATATGATTCATTCCATTCTAAGTAGCACATAAGAAATACAAATAACATACCTCATCTGCTGGTCTGCTGTAATCCACAGGATCTCTTCCGGTAATGGCTTCAAGGAGTAACACACCAAAGCTATAAACGTCACTCTTCTCATTTAGTAAGCCAGAATTAGCATATTCTGGAGCCACATATCTGAAAATGCAATGCAAACACAAGAGAGGAAGAGAAGGCAGTTAGCAAGCCACAGACAACCATAAAGAAATATGTAATTCTCAGTAGTTCCATTTGGCATGAACATATTTTAGATTTAGATTTGACTATAAGCATGAGATTGCTATAAAGATGAAAGTTAACATAGAAATTTAGTTATGTAAATTTTAGTTTGCACCATGGGACTTTCATCACTGCACCACCCTTAACAATTGTAAGGAAAATACAGGCTCAAAATAAAAATGCCAAGAAGTCTTAAACTAGCAGACTTCTAATTGAATTGCATTAAACAGAGAATAGCTTACCCAAAAGTACCCATTACTCGAGTTGTGATATGACTTTTCCCAGAACCCAGCAACTTAGCCAGCCCAAAGTCAGATATTTTGGCATTAAAGTCATCATCAACCAAAATATTGCTTGACTTAATATCACGATGTACCACCTTTGGTTCAATAGCCTCATGCAAGTAAGCCAACCTGCAACATATAATTACACATCAGAGACAGTTAATCAGGGAATGCAGTAAACCAGATATGGAACAAATGAACAAACCCTTTAGCCGTCCCAAGGAGAATTTTCATCCGAGCATCCCAAGTAAGATACCCCTGTTTCTGCATTGCTCCATGTAGCCATTGTTCTAAATTGCCGTTGTTAACATACTCATAAACCAGCAACCTGAAATTCATAGGGCATTCATCATGAATATCATGAACTGAAATAATACAAACTGGTAACCAGAGATTAGAGGAAGCACATGAAACTTTAACATAAAATCACCAAAGCAAGTAACAAATTTTCCAATAACACAAATTGGGATTAATAAATATTAATCTTATCATAAGCCTACAGGATTGTGTTAATCAAATAGAACTCAAATGAAGATGAAATCAGAGGCAAAACAGCCGCATAAAGAATACAGAATTGCAGATACAAAAAAATGCCGTCAGTGGTAATCTATCTGTCTTGGTTTCAAGATATACACACTCTACCTGTGAGTGCCTTCAACGCAGTATCCAAGAAGTCGGACCAAGTTCTTATGCCGCACATGACCAATAGCCTCAACTTCCACCCTGAATTCCTTTTCCGCCTGTCCTCTGCAAGATTCACATAACACTTGTCAGAGAAATTTGTTGAGTATGCAGACATCAAAATTTAAAATGAAAAGACTGCAAAAGCTAAACAAACTCCCGTCTACTTACACATTATTGAAAATCTTCTTAACAGCCACAGGATTCCCGTTGACTAGTTGACCTCGATAAACAACTCCATAACCACCTTCCCCAATTACATTGTCCCTTGAAAACCTGTTTGTTGCGAGTTCTAGGTCCCTTAATGTGAACCAGTGACCCCAGCCTAGTTGAGAGAATTCAGGCAAACCAGACAAGGGGCTGTATGAAGAATTGGTCTTAGAGCCACTGTCGTCGCCTGATTGAGAGCCAACACCATCTTTCTCTAAATGATTAAATGAGCCTGACTGACTATTATTGAGATTATCCCCATTCTTCACTTGGATTAAAGCCTTTGCAGACTCCTGGTCACTAAACCTGTCATTCAAACTCGTGAAGGAACCATCCTGCAGATGATTATTTGCCGAAACTTGATCAACTCTAATCTCTTTGATCTCTTCTGAAACTGATGACATATGGCTAAAGGGGAGCATGCTGCTGTTGATTTTTCTGGATTTCTTTCGCTTTGTAAGACATATTGATAGAACCACAAGAATGATTATAATGAACAACCCAACAGCCATTGCCATCAATTCCCACGCTTGTAGACCAAAAACAGAAGTTTTCTTGGATAACCCCGAATTCAAACCAGATGCCATTTTGCTGATGCCAAATGTCTGCAGAAGTCGATGTCAAAATATGAGAAGGCACTTTAATGCATGCAGCAAATCAAGTAGCAAAATTTCGCATTTGTAAGACAAGACTATGGTTTCAGTACGAAACTCTTGTGCCAAATTTCTGACCCTCTGAAGCTTCTTCTTTTTTTCCTGAACGAAACTTACAGAGTAAATAATCCAGAATTTCATAAAGAAGCTAAATCGTCAAGTACTTTTCCCCAAAGAAGAGTGAAAAAGAATAGACGCGTGACCATGTTTTTCAAATCCCAGACCAATCCAGCACATATGAATTATGAACCAGACCGCGCAAGAAAAACTTCAACAATTTGATTTCAATTATTCTAAAAGACTGAAATCGCACATGCCCAACAGCGCACAGTGGCAAGAAAGCTAGCCCTCGACAACATTTGAAAACCAAGAATGCAAGCCTGGAAACTTCATTCACTTTGCAAATGGGGGAGAGGGGACAGTGCAGGAAAATCGGTTTGCTCAATTGGACTTTGTTTCATCCCCCTAGGATTTCCCATCGAGTGTGACGAGATCAATGAAACAATCATTACAAAGAGAACCTTTACTAAGAAATTTCAAATCAATACCTGCAATACACTCACAAACTTTCTGAAGCAGCGCAGTTACTAGATCTCTTAAGCCCCAAAAGTCCTCTGCGAGGTGAAGCCATTAGCGCATGCCCGGCTCAACCCCATTGTCATATTCTTCCTTCCAGTGCAATAAAACTTTCTGGGTTTTCTCAAAAACAACGAATGGGCCCTCGAATTGAATCAGAAATGGGGAGAGACGGACCCTGTTGTGAAGCTGGAGGGAAGTAAACAAGGGTCACATGAAATTCAAGGAAGACGAAGAAGCAATGGTGAGGCTTTTAAGAGGAAGAAGAGATGGAATTATCAAGAGTAGGTGACGAGAAGCGACATGGTTCTTCTTCACATTACATACAGTAAAAGAGACGCATAAAAACGAAAGCTTTTTTCCTGCGCCGTTTCTTCAAATTTGTTCTCTCTCTCCCATCTAGCCCAAAAAAAGGTTGTTCTGTTTCCGCGCCTACTCGCTCTTTACCTGTATTTTGTTGTTTTTATTATACGTGTTGTTCATACTGAACCAGGAGGTGACAGATAATGAAGAGGCCTGAGTCACCCTTGACATTTGAAAAAAGCCTTTCTCTAATGATGTGATTATCTGAATTTCACAAATTAAGCAAGTTAACCATCAACGTTACTCATTAAGAAAAAAGTAAATTGTGGTCATTAATCATTATTACCTGAGACAGGTGATGTGTGAAATCTGGAATAAATGCTAAAGTTAATGACGGTGTAAGAGGAAAAAAATTTGAGAGATTAACTAAAGAAAACCACGTTCATTTTAAGTTGGGTTAACCAGTATAGTACAGTTTAGTTTACTAATGTAATCATTAATAATGACTTAGGTATAGCATTGTCAATGGCAAGTGGGCAAGGCATCTTTTATTGTTTGGGGCTTCGAGATGAGGAGAAATGTTCAAAGCCTCCTAATTTCGACGAGGACGATAATATTGATAATAATTTCAAGGTTAGTACAGTTTAATCCAAATTTAATGTTGACCATGATTTTAAATTATAATTTTTTATCCCTATAATTTCATAAAGAATTAGCCTAAGTTAATACCCTTAATCAAAATTTTAATGAATTTTGATCTTTGTTTTTGTGTTTTTAATAAGTTTTGATTTTAATCTCTATACTCAATATACTGTTAAACTCAAACAAGTTTTTATAAAACTATAAGGACCGAAAATCATGATTTGAAACCATGAAAATTAAAATCAAAATTCAATCAAATTGTAAGAACCCATAATTTTAATAACAAGTGATATCTTAGTACAAAGGGTTTTGACAATTTAAATATAAACTTTCAAGTTCATGTAAATAGGAAAAAAAAACATTTGAAGGGAAAATATTTTCGATTAGATCCATAATGCTCAAATATAATCCAATTAGATAATCATATAATAAAAATAATAATAATTGAAGGCTATGTTTAATCCATGTTACATTTACATAAAATCTAGTTCAAAATGGACCAAATCCTATGGATGCAGATGCAGTAATAAGGGAATGATGGTACAGGATTGTATTTCTGAGCTTGAAATTAAAATTCTAAATCGATTAAAAGCAAACATCTTGTAGCAAATGCGGTGGTCAAGATAATTAACTTCTCAGAAGATAAACATTCCATATCGGTACAGCTGTTTCTTGAGGCCAAAACGGCAGGCTAGAGCAAAATACGCAAATTAGTCAGGGGCTTCCACGTGATCAGTGGGTTTGAAATAAAAGGTCACGTGATATGAGACCTGGTCTTTCTGCGTGGTTTTATTACAAGTTTATTCTTTTTTTTTTAATTTTGATGGGCTAATCCGTTTAGAAGCAACAGATCATATCAATATATTGTTAGTTGAGATGATAAATCGTCTTATTTTTATAAAAAAGAGAATATAAAATTTGAGTCTTAAAAAGTATACTTACTAGAATGGCTTTGAATTTAATGTTTCCGGCTCGACAAAATTAATCTGAAACTTAAAATAGTTTAAAAATACTCTGAGTTATTAAAAAAAAATGATGGATTGGGTTCATAAAATAGGACCTCGATTTGGTGTAATATTTTTTCACCCAAACCTACTAAATAAATCGTTACAAAATTGTATAAATAAAAATAAGATGGAATTTTAATATGAAAACTATATTTATGAATGACGGATGGAAAATTAAAATATATGCACGCTCGAACGTTCAATCAAGAGAAAATAATATATTTATAGAAAATTGAAACTATATGATGAAAAAAAAGAAGGAATTATATTGTTCAAAAATTCACAGACAATATGATTCATGTTGAATCTGGGGGGAAGTGCACGTAACGTATTTTAACCGTAAAAAATTACGAAAATATGGAAGGAAGTCGGATGTGTTACTCATAAGCTATTGATGGGACATAAATTTATTAAATACAGAGAATTAGCTTTACGTTAAGTCGTCAACTGAGTCGGGGAAAAAATTGAAGTTCTTTCTCCTTGTTAATTGACTAATTTAAAAAAATTAAATAAATTATTCTAAAATGTTATGTTTATGATTTTTTAAACTAATTTATTTTACTTATAACTAAATATATAATTTTATAATACACATAAGTATTTCAGAAAAATCATATAATATATGTTATAATCAAGTAATTTTTTAATTTTTTTAAATTAATCAACTTAGTTTTATATTAAAAACTAGAAGTAGTATAATCAGATTACGTGCATTGCCTCTAGGTCCACGTTTGCATCGCACAACCCCCAAAAAAAAAACAATTAATAGGGTTGTTGATGTTCAATTTAATTTTGGTTTTAATCCCCGACTCCCTACTGTTTCAAATGGTTAATTTTAATTATTATAGTTTCATAAGAATTTAATCTGAAGTTAAGTACAAGAACAAAAATCAAAACTTTATAAGAACAATACATAAACTCAAACAAAAAAAATTATGAAATCATAGAAAGCAGGATCAACTATTTGAAATTGTAAGAATCAAAATCAAACTATGAGGACTAATAATGGACATAAGTATCTACGCATAAAATTAATAGTGATTAGTGTTTAGGTAAACCATTTTTTTTTCTAGGAGAAGAAAAGAGATACATTTATGTAATTAATCTTTAGTTTTGAAAGGGGGGAAATAGGGAGAGAAGCAAACAACCGCTAAATCACCCAACAAAATAAAATCAAAAGGACGTTAAGTAATGACAAAAAGCACAATCAATAAAATACTTAATCAATTAATTAATTAATTAGATGACATACGAATTCAACATAGATATGCTTGGAATTATATGTTTTCAATTATTAAACGCGTAATTCAGGAAGTTTAATCACATCCTTTATTTTAATAACAAGCTTTTTAGGCTGACATTTTCCGGCCGGTGGCATATCATCACCCTTGTGTTCCCCAGTCTTTCCTGGTCCTTGTTAAAAACTAAGTATTTATATCAAACTAGTATTAAAATAGATGGCTCATCAATGTATATTTTATTTATTTATTTATATTTTATATCGGTGTGAACTATTATGGACTCGTGATTAGTTTTAAGTATAAAACAAAACAACATAAAAATTCACTAATTTTATAAATTAAAAAATTATGCATTAAACTCATCTGTTTTTGTAATTTTAACTCGAAACAACTAATGATTACAATAATTAAATTATTTTGAGTCAAAGTCTGAACCTGAATAAATAATTAAAGAAAAATTAGGGACCATAAGTCATATTTTCCTGGTAAAAAATGCGTGTACATTTATGAAAGTATATTAATATTAAAAAATAATTTAATAAAGATTGACAAAGTTGCAATGATTAGAATAGAAAAAGGGGAAAGGGGAAGGCACACATATTGATTTGGTTTGAAGGAGCTGTTGCTTATGGATCTGGTGTTGGCAGTTGTTGAGATTGCTTTGTCTGTTAAGGTTATAAGGTTCTTTTCATTTATTTTTATTTTTTTAAAAATTTCAACATGTGTTCTTATGTTCCCTCCCTTATTACTCTACCTCTTATATTTTTCTACACCCTAAATTTATTATTCATCATCCTCCTTTTTAATATTAAAAAGTTTGGGAAAAGTACCGAATTGAAAAATTAATTGATGGATGGTATCTGAAATTCATAATATTAATACTTTCTGAATATGAAAAACATTTTAAAAAAAAGTAGTACATTTTATCTCAGGAAAAGTAGAAGTATGAACATCCCTGTAGATGAATTGTAAGTGAACTAGGCTTTGATAAAAGAAATTTGTCATCTTAAAAAAATAATTCAGGGGATGATTTGTGTGTTATAATTTTTAATGCTTGTCAAGGAAAGCGTGCATTTGTTAATCAAGACGTTGACCACATAATGGCCTCCCTCAACGCGGCCTTATTATCATTGGCAATTCATTATTATAAATTTTTTTTATAAAAAAACTCATTATTATAATGTATTTTGTTTTTTTTCCCTTTGAATCTTGTTCGTGTTGCTTTTTTTTTTTTTCTTCATATTATCATCCAATATCCCACGCTTTCTTGAATCCTGTTATTAGGTATCTAAGCAACCGGCTAATCCGATTTAACATTTGTGACTTCCCCTTCTTATGAAGGCGTCTTCTTTAGAACTTAAATCTGAGAACCAAAGGTATTTAGCCGGGCCTTACATTATTAGACCAACGTAATTAGTTTGTTTTAAAGTGGCTGTAAATTAATAATGGCCCTATAAGAACATCATGTTTCATATTGTTTTTCTGCCAGTCATAGAACATGTTGTACGCGAAACGTGTCGGTGGGTTCTCTCTCCTTAATTATATGGCAGATGTACCAGTTGGAAACAAGATTAAACACTTTTAATTGTCAAATTAATTAAAAACCCTTGCAATTAATTCAAAACTATATTTTGGTGACTATATGTACCTACATATCTCAGCCTATGCAGATTTCCAGTTAGCTGGGTGTTCAGCAATATATATTCTTTTGTTCTTAATTGTTTGATAAATGAATAATATCATCATCAATATATACAAGCTCCATTATTCATATGTCGTTATCCATGAAATCTGTTCTTCCATTTCTTCGAACATTATTTTTACAATTAAAATTAATAATTTAAGCAATACATGTATACCTTTTTCATGAGATTATGTCGTCTATTTTATTAAATCGCTCTTATTTTCATTTATCAATGTTTTTTTTCAATAATTTAGTAGAATAAATCACGCAGCCATAACTGAAATATGAATAAACAAACTTGCATCTGTACATTCTTCAATGGCCAGAATATTCTGAGAATTAAGTCCGAATTAATAAACACACGGTGATTTACAAGTCTAGTGTTATTAAAATCTATTAAAAATTGTTACCAAACTTAATTTAGGATTTAATAATTTGAAATTTAATTTTGTGGGATTTTTCCTGTAATCAAACTTGCACAA